TGCCTCCACCCTCCCCACACAACCCAACCCACTTGCAAAGACCTTTAAGTGACAGAAGATAGCACTAAAAGGAAATAAACATTCATGGATAATTCAGATTATAGTTTTGCTTTACCTGAAATATATGATAAACAAGTTTGTACAAGACTTATAAACTTATTACACCGTGAAGGGTCAGACTTTCATTCAGACAACGCGAGGATGATGACCAATTGGGGTGAGTCGTTTGGCGTTGATACCACGTCTCCCTATCATGTCCCAGACGTGTTCGATGGGGGAAAGATCAGGGCCCATTGATGGCCATGGAAAACAATAGATGTGCACGGTGAGCACAAGTGTTGTCATCCTGAAAGACAAAATGACGACCGAAATACCGAGCAAATGGGACAACAAAGGGTGTCAGCATGTTGTCCCGGTAGTACTGCCCTGTGACCCTTCCTTGTACAACGTGAAGAGGGGTTCGGTTAGTCATAGTGATACCGCCCCATACCAAAAGTGACCCACCTCCAAATCGATCGTGTGGTCTCACATTGATGTTGGCGTGGCATTCATTTTTTCGTTGCCAGACCTGACCATGCCTGTCAAGGAAGCCCAAAGTGAATCTAGATTCATCCGAAAACATGACACTAGATCCAACGACGATTCCTCCAGCGTCTATGTGCCCAACACCAATCTCTTCTTACAGCCATGTGACGATCAGTCAAGGGTAGCACAACCCAGGACCGTCGAGCATGCAAGTGAGCTGCATGGAGGCAATTTCTTTTCGTCTGACCCGTAACTCGAACACCAATAGTCTGATACAGATTTGCTGCAATTTGATTGGCTGTTACAGCTCTATTTCTTAAAGCCTGGTTCTGAATGAAATGATCCTGTACTCTTGTTGCTGACCTTGGTTGACCTGAACAGGGTCGATCGTCAACATTTTGGGTTTGCTGATATCTGGTCCAAAGTCGGCTATTGGCTGACTTCGAAACATTGACGATATTGGCCACTTCACGCTGGGTAGTGCCTGTTTGCTACCTGCCAAAGTCTGCTATTGGCTGACTTCGAAACATTGACGATATCGGCCACTTCACGCTGGGTAGTGCCTGTTTGCTACCTGCCAATTGCACAGAAACATTCATCACGTTGCATATGCCGCATTGCAAATTCAACAAAAAAAAACCAGCTGGAAACAAACATTAACAACTGTGTGATCAACAGATGCAAAATGATTGTCAAAATTAATGGTCTACAGTGATTTATCAACCTTCTTGAATACTGTCAAAATCAAGAATCACTCACTCTCTCATTCACAACATAAAAATATATCTAAATACATTTTTTAGACATTTTATGTTTTCATTGATAGAAATTACAAGCTACATGGAAAGGGTTAATGCCAAAGTGAAATGAACAATAGTGAGCTGAGAAAATATTTCATTCTTGACTGATGAGATTGGTGATCAAGATAGATGATAATGACTTACAACTACAACAGGGGAAAAAACAATAGAAATTTGAAAGAAACCCTGATTTTGTAGACATAAAAACTAAAACAATCTCCTTACATTCAGGCAATTACTTGAAAAAGAGGAGGCAGGGAAATATGACCTTGAGTGTATGTAATATTAGGGTTTCAATGAATGCATGTAGATATATCTTAGGCACAAAAATAAAGGAACCCCTTGACTTTGTGAAGCATGTATAATTTAATCAGCACACCTGAACGGTAAATATGTCAGATATACTTAATAACGAGTGTGTCCACCATGAGCAGCAATACATGCACGGCACATTGCAGGCATGCTGGACACCAACCGCTGAATTGTCGCCCTTGGAATCAAGTGCCACTCTTGCTGCAGTGCTCTACCTAACACATCAAGATTTGCTGGTGCAGGCTCCCTCAGGCGCTTTTCGGCGGCTCACACATCACACAGATGTTTGATAGGGGATAGATCTGGTGTTTTAGCCGGCCAGGGTAAAGTTGTAACATCTTGTTGTTGCAAGAAGTTCACGGCAACACAAGCTCTGTGAAGACGTGCATTATCGTCCTGAAACACATAACTTCGACCTGCCCCGTGAGCCATTGGAACTACGTGTGGCCTTAAGATCTTGTCCATATACCGCTGGCCTGTCAGATTACCCCGTACAAGAATCAAATCAGTCCTCCTATTGAAAGAAATTCCTCCCCAGACCATGATAGAGTCGCCTCCATAAGAATCATGTTCCTGTACCGTGGGTCTCCCATAACGCTCTCCTCGGCGTCGCCAAGACACACGCAATCATCCATCCGTGAATCGCAAACAAAAGCGGGATTCCTCATTAAACATCACATGTCGCCATTGCTGGTTCCCCCACCTCTGACGTTGCTGAGCCCACTGATAACGAAGACGTCTGTAAGCTGTCATCATCACGCCTTTGAATGGACGTGTTGACCTCTGCCTCTGCTACGGAGCCTGTTTCGTACGGCAGAGTTCGAAATCCATGTTCTTGTGGCTCTGAAGAATTCCATCTTCAAATCCTGGGCTGTGACAAATCGATTCCCCAGAGTTATAGTTCTCAGGAAGTTGTCTTGTCTGGGGGTGGTTTTAGGGCGTCATCCTCAACCGGTCCTCATTTTAACGCCCTCTGTCTGAAGAGACAGGTTGATGAGACAGGAAATGACGCTTTTGGACTTCCTGAAGAACCGGGAAACACTATTCTGAGCTTGTCCAGCCTCTATCATGCCAATGGCCTCCCATTTCAGTGTGTTTCTCAGGTACTGTCGAGGTGGCATTTTCACAAGAGATCGTGGGACACGCTTACTGTCAGTTTTATAGGCTAGAATGCATGTATGGTGCATGATGCACGTGTATCATGTAAAGGTAACATGGTGCTGACTGTGGTGTCAGCCGTAAGTGATTTCCGATCTGGGTTTGAATGCAATCAGCTTGCAACTTTTATGTAGCATTGTTTCAACTATAAATTCAACATGGGGGTTCCCTTATTTCTTGTGCCTAGTATATTTTTATGTTCTGAGTGAGTGAGTGAGTTCAGTTTCATGCCGCTCTCAGCAATGTTCAAGCTATATGGCAGAGGTATGTAAATAATCGCGTCTGGACCAGACAATCCAGTGATCAACAGCATGAGCATCGATCTACGCGCAATTGGGGCTTTTGAATGAATCACTCACTCACCAGTATGTAGAAAATAGGCTCTGCATGTATAATCAGTGTCAAGTTCCCAGTATATCACATTATCATGTAATTGAGGGTGTTATAGATGCAATAATGCAATCTGATAAACAAGGTATCCAAATCTGATAAATATGCAGATTAGGTCGATACACGAACTACTTTCACAAAACTCCAAACACACACCATGCAAATCATACAACGTTAACATTTAATTGATGAAGTAGTCGCTAGTTTACTGGGGTTTTTCCCTTGTGTGGGTGAGTTAGTAAACAAACATGGCTGCCCCCATTATCAAAACTGGTGATTCTGAAAGAATCGATAACAAGAGGTTCTGGAGTCGTTACTGCAGTAATTGACTTTGGAAAACATGAAACGGAATACTTCATTCAAACTGAGGCGCGAGATAAAAGCGATTGTCTAAGAAAGGATTTCAATCTATCAATCACAACAACATGACTTCCCCTCATTATGAGCTAATTCAATACTCTTTGTCTGATTCCAAAGTAACTGTTTTTGATAAATTAGAAATTTTCTGTTGCAAATAGTCTGATTTTGTTGTTCTTTTTAGACAGAAAGATCTTATTTAAAGCAAGAGTTGTTTGCACTATATTATTAGCGAATAGTCACAACCACATGCACTCTCCTACCCAGAGTTCCATGCAGCAAGCCAGGATAGTACCTCTGCCACAAGCCAGAAAAATGTGACGATTCGTTACATCTTGCAATGTCCATTCAATATAATGTACAGATTTCTTTTACTCTTTTATTTTTGACGAGTCTACACATCTAACTAAACATCTTTAATAGAATGGTTTAGTTTCACTGAGAAAATATCCAAAAACATGTAACACTATTTCGATTTGCGTATCCTTTGTTTACATAGGTTGTACGGCTCCACATGCTGACATCGAAGCTGATGGAGAGCAAACGATGCAGCCAGTTTGATATCTAAATATGTACTGTCATAGACCTTACTGTCGCAGTTGTGGAAGAATATATATGTAACAATGTAAAACATTATGAAGAGAGCACCGAAAGGTTTTCGTGAGTCCAATCTCTTCTTAAATGAATATGCGCGTTTGATTACAAACAAGAGAAAAGTCTGGTAAAGTGATATGCAAATTAGCCTGTGGCAGTGATGTTATGTTAGTCATCGCTGTGCCGGAGTGTGAACCACATGCTGTCGTCATGAATGACCATCATCACCTTGGTATATCGCTAAATATTCTTTCGCGAATGCTTGATTCTCTTCCTATAAATTCACGTACGATCTGCATCTTTTGTTTAGAGTAATTTTAAGAATGACATTATATGATAAAGAGATTATTAGTATGTTTCCATATCATTAACATCATATGTATTAGGAATAAAAAATATTAAAAATAAATATAAGTTTTATTCCTAATATATGATATTAATGATACGGAAAGCACTCGGTTAATAATCTCCATATATACCCTTCAGAATAATATACTGACTAATACTTGTAGATTTAGTATGAAATTCATTGGATTAATATATACAGATATGTACCCATCAGATTGATATACTCCCTGATTCATTGGATTAATATACCGATATACATAACCCTCCAGTCACCTGTGCCTGAGGCTAAATGCCCATTGGATAATAATAACACAGTATTATTATTAAGGTAATAAAGTATTGTCTATTGTCTAATGACTTGACATGTGTGAACGAAATATGGACAACGAGTCTACTAAGGATACACAATGCATTTACCATGACTATTTTCCTTGTCCGTCCATTACCATTGATGCTTACATAGCTTGTACTATTAGCTTGGTGAAAGATGTAGATATTAATCTGCAAGTCACCTACCTGTGTCCAGATATCTTCCCCAACAGCTGACAGTGACAGCAGTGAATAGTTTCAGTCTAGCCAGTGGTACGGTTTGACTGGGCTCGAGTTTTAAGAAGGAAGGTTGGCACTAGAGCTATGCTTGTGGCGCGTATGAACAAAGGAACCAGTTTAGTTATGTTTATGGAAAGCTGGTTCCCGCCTGTCACTGCGCGTCGTCAACTTGGGTATACAAACATTGTTAAGTGATGAGACGGAGCCCAGGTGATTTTCTAGTCTGCCCGTGAGCTTACACAAGACAGGACTATTCGAAGGGAAAGAAAACATCCGATTTGAAAACAGAGTGACTAATTGTTGGACAACAGACTTGCAATTACATAAACCACTCTAACAGAATAATTGCGAGTACTAGTAAACTGTAAAATTAAATAACACGCAACCTATCTGAGTGTCCGAGTGACCAGTTGAACCATAGACCTCTCTCTCTCTCTCTCTCTCTCTCTCTCTCTCTCTCTCTCTCTCTCTCTCTCTCTCTCTCTCTCTCTCTCTCTCTCTCTCTCTCTCTCTCTCTCTCTCTCTCTCTCTCTCTCTCTCTCTCTCTCTCTCTCTCTCTCTCTCTCTCTCTCTCTCTTGCGAACTGTTAAAGCTAGATTAGTTCCCATTCAGAAGGGACACTGATTTGCAGTGTTTGAAACCTATCAAAATAGTTCCCACAGGACCAGTGAGATCAAAATCTACGGAAGCGTCCTAGTGCCACGGTCAGAATTTTTTTTATCTCCTAATTAGGTGATACTATCTCCTAATTAGGACTTAATATCTCCTAATTAGGACATAGCTATCTCCAAATTAGGTGATACTATCTCCTAATTAGGTGATACTATCTCCTAATTAGTACTTAGCTATCTCCTAATTAGGTGATACTATCTCCTAATTAGGTGATACTATCTCCTAATTAGGACTTAGCTATCTCCTAATTAGGTGATACTATCTCCTAATTAGGACATAGCTATCTCCTAATTAGGAGATACTATCTCCTAATTAGGACTTAATATCTCCTAATTAGGACTTAGTATCTCCTAATTAGGACTTAATATCTCCTAATTAGGACTTAAGGATCTTATAAATATGTATGAAAAAGTCAACCAGTATTCATTCACTTCTTATGTTTTGGTTTAGCAGCTTGGATGAAGTCATGGATGAAAGCATATGCATTTGTTTCATGTTGGACATGAAGTATTCAGAAATTGTGTCTTGTTTGGCCCATATAAATGGCATCATTATCAGCATGAAGACTTTGAAAAGGAAATCAAAACGACTGAAACTGTTTAGGCGAACCCCACATGGGCACAATGTGTTAAGCCGATTTCTGGTGTCCCCGCCGTGATATTGCTGGAATATTGCTAAAAGCGGCGTAAAACTAAACTCAGTCAGTCAGTAGGCGAAGACATACTAGTGAAAGAGGTAGAAGAGGTAGAAGAATCAGTGATTACACAGTGCCATTTAGAAAGTGGTCAGATGTAACCCATGTTATATATGGGATTACACTTTCTCAGTAAAGTACAAATTCTAGTTCTTTTGTCGGGTTGAGTCCCATCCGGGTTTCGAACCCACACCCTCAGAGTCAGGCACCTAATCGCCAGCGATGGCTGGAAGTCGCGGTGGGTGAGCCGGCTGACTTTGTGTGCTGGCGATCGGATGGCTGGCGATTGGATGCCATCCCTGATGGGACTAAAACCCAACAAAAGTACTAGAATTGTACTTTACCAAGAAAGTGTGATCCCAAATATAATATATGTTATAGAAGAATCAGGACAAACATGTGGTTACAAGCTTATGCATCTGAATTGCATACAAGAGGGATTCGCTGTCAGTCAAGACACGGTGCGTCTTTGCTGCATTTAGTAGTGGTAGAAATAAGAGTACCAGAACACCCAACGCCAATGACGTCACCTGTTCATTATTATTTATCCACAGTATCGCATAATCCATATAATCTATGAGATCAACAGTCACATTTTTTCAGATCGTCATGTAAGCATGCCTTGTCATATAAGCACAGTCCTTACTGTCCTACGAATCTGTAACAGGCTACATACATACGTCTTCCCAACTGAACAGAAGGCTGTCCCAGGTTTATACATAGTTTTATATAAAGTGTAATGTCTGTCCACTTGTATCCAATAATATAGTTCGAGTCTTAGCCTGTGCACACACGCCTTGCTATGTACAACAGACGTGACCTGTATAACTAGGTCAGTGGGTTAGTAGGCCTACCTTTCAAATCGTCTTGGACAACTATATTGTAAACCATGTTTATAAAAACAAACAAAACGTTATCACTAAGTTTTACAGTCATTTTTACACCTGCAATCACAACAATTAATTTAATAGTAGTTCCATTAGCATTTCCCATATTATCCCATTTTATGCACTGATATTTGGACGTCTCCCTTCTTCCCCAAGATGGTATAACAAGTCTGGCCTATGGTCATTGGAGAATCATAGAAGAGCCAATGAATGGAGGTATGAATAGCCCAGAACCTTGTTGTTCTGTCACTGACCGTTGGAGGAGAAACATCAAGATGGATATCTGTTCTTTGTGTGGAAATACTTATACATGGTCTTATGATTTGAAGACTGACTGACTGACTGAGTTTGGTTTTACGCCGCTTTAAGCAATATTCCAGTAACATCATGGCGGGGGACACCAGAAATGGGCTTCACACATTGTACCCATGTGGGGATTCGAACCCGGGTCTTTGGAGTGACGAGCCAACGCTTTAACCACTAGGCTACCCCATCGCCCCTATGATTTTAAGAGACACATGAGAGTCAAACATTCTGATGAATGCCAAAATGTGGTTCCACTGACGCTGACAACGACGCAGACGCAACCGCAGCACCACCACCACTACCACCACACACACAAATACATACCACCACACACCGCCACACCACCACACACCACCTACCACCATCACCACCATCACCATCACCATCACCCACCACCACATACCACCACACACCACCATCACCACCACATACCACCAGACAACACCACATGGTAGAGAGATGTGTAAAGTGTATTTGTATATTTCAAGAGACATCTGTATATAGATTGTAAGGGTGGCTTGGGGAGGCTCTCCTACCCATGTCCATTCTGCATGCACGAGGATATTAAATATTGTGTATAGAAGTTGTATGTTGTCATTTCGCTCTTTAAATTTGCATTTGTGCAGGCATGTGTCATTACACAAACGGACGACTTGAGTTTTTTTTAACATGGCGTCGGCCATGCTATAGAGGAAACAAGGGGGGTTCCCCCTAGTGACGTCATTTGTGTGGTAGCCTCTCACATTCAGGGAGGCTACCCGATCTCTATGGAAGTACATGCAGTTGGGTGTTCTTGTACTCTCATTTCTGTCACTACTAAATGCAGCAAAAGAAGCACCATGTCTTGATTGATAATGAATCCCTCTTGTATGCATTTCAGATGCATAAGTTTGTAAGCACACATTTGTCCTGATTCTTCTACCTCTTTCACTATGGTCCCTCGCCGTGATATTGCTGGAATATTGGTAAAAGCGGCGTAAAACCATACTCACTCACTCACTTTCACTACGAACATAGCAACTTCTGCAATATCACTATTATGTCTTCGCCTAAACAGATTCAGTCGTTTTGATTTCCTTTTCAAAGTCTTCATGCTGATAATGATGCCATTTATATGGGCCAAACAAGACACAATTTCTGAATACTGCCATGCCCAACATGAAACAAATGCATATGCTTTCATCCATGACTTCATCCAAGCTGCTAAACCCAAACAGAAGAAGTGAATGAATACTGGTTGACTTTTTCATACATATTTATAAGATCCTTAAGTCCTAATTAGGAGATACTAAGTCCTAATTAGGAGATAGTATCACCTAATTAGGAGATAGTATCACCTAATTAGGAGATAGTATCACCTAATTAGGAGATAGTATCACCTAATTAGGAGATAGCTATGTCCTAATTAGGAGATATTAAGTCCTAATTAGGAGATAGTATCACCTAATTAGGAGATAGCTATGTCCTAATTAGGAGATATTAAGTCCTAATTAGGAGATAGTATCACCTAATTAGGAGATAAAAAAAATTCTGACTGTGGCACTAGGACGCTTCCGTAAAAATCAGCTGCACAACTTGTGTCCTTTATTTTAACTACTGATCGCAAAAAATGCCAATGGCAGCGCTCCATAGTCGATGTCCGCCATAATAGCTAAATATAGCAGCGCAGAAAATGTAGAAACGTGAAACTGAAACGAAATAGAATTCATTTTCATACGCTTTACTGTAATTACTCTACTAGCTTAAAAATAAGTGAGCGACCAATTAATGTTCCTGGTTATGGATGCTGAATTTAGGTGTCAGGTGTTTTTCATTCATTTTTTATTCATAATGATTCATTCATTCCCAGAAATGGTTACTGCTCAACTTGAAATATGACTTTCTTGCAATATCTAATGATATTTTAAAATATAGCTAATTATTCCTTTTAACAATATATGTGTATGCCCACAAATAGAACCAGAAAATATATGCTGTGAATGGTATTGGATTTTGATTTTATAGTTGAATAATTATGCTAATATGTGTAAAAATATAGTAAGTTGTATCTAAATATCGGCAAGCCTGGCCATTTTTTCAGTGTTTTATGTAATAATACAGTAAATAGTTTCTTTTAAAAAAGAACGGGGAATAAAAGAAAATTAAATTATGTCATAATTATTTTTTTAATGATGTTACATCCATTCTTGATGGGTTTGTTTTGGGGATTTAAGTTATTTGTGTTATGCCATTTGTGAGAGTATATAAGAGATTGGTATGTTGCTTGGTCATACTTTTCAGAGAATATTTCTTATGAAATACTCGAAAAATATACAGGTTCATGTACACATTCATGACACTGTAAAAAAGAGTGGTGATCTATTATTTATAATGGTGGGTGTATTCAGTAACACGCCATCACACATAATACTATGCTGATAATGCTGAGTTAAAGGTCCAGTTAAAGTTCTCATCCCAAATGTTCACATGACCCCCTAAGCAGTTAGTGGCTCCCTA